GTGGTAGAATATTTTTGTTCTTCTAAGCAAGTGTAGTTTAAGAACTGGCAGGTGTTCATAGCTTCTCTTCTTTAATATGTGAATAATCCTTTCCTTGGTTAAGATATTAGCTTTATGTTATGTTTACTGATTCTAAAATACCAGATACCAGAATATAATCTGAGAATCAGAACTACTTCATATATACAATAGTTTTTTCTCTTTGAGCATTTTTAATCTTGATTTAAGTATGTTATGCTCTAAAAGAATACCACATATATTAGAAATTAAATTTGTTAAATAAAATTTTATAAAATTCAACATGACTTTTTTGCTGTGTTAGGATAATTTCTTAATAAAATATTGATCTAGCCATCTTCACTTTTTTTATTTTGTATAGTGTGTGAGTCTTGGTAAATTGACATTTAGTCTGAAAGTAAGGCTTGACTAAGTTCTAGTTGAAAGATAAAATGTCTTGGATCAACTCTTACTATTATACTTTGAAAGTATTTAAAAATGAACAATGAGGACCATTTACATACATAATGTAAGAAATCTATTAAAGTATTCTAAATGTTCAAAGTTGTTGGGCAAGGTGGCACATAACTGTAATCCCAGCAGCCCTGGAGGTTGAGGCAGGAGAATTGCAAGTTCAAAGTCAGACTCAGCAACTTAGTGAGGCCCTAAACAATGTGGCAAGACCCTTTCTCAAAATAAAAAAAATAAAAAGGGATGGGGATGTGGCTTAGTAGTTAAATGCTCTTGGGTCCAATTTCCTGGTTACCCCCCCCCCAAAAAAAAAAAGTATAATGACATTCTTTGTCTATTCTTGATAAGGAAAAAAGTCTATAATTTGGGGAGAGAATGGAAAGGGGTGATAGAGATTGGGGAAGGTTGGGGGTATTAATTTCTTTTTCTTTTCTTTTTTTTTTTTTTTTTTTGTGGTGCTAGGAATTGAACCCAGGGCCTTGAGCATGCAAGGCAAACACTCTACCAACTGAGCTAAATCCCCAGCCCTATTAATTTCTTAAGAACTGCCATTATAAAGTACCAAAAACTTGGTAGCACACAAGAAGAGAAAATTTATTCTTCACAGTTCTGTAGGCTGGAAGTATGAAATTAAGATGTCAGCAGGGTATGTTCTCTCTGAAGGATCCAGGGAAGATCTTTCCTTGCCTCTTCCTAGTTTTCCAGTGATTGTCCACTGTTCTTGGTGTCACTTAACTTATAGTTGTACACTCCAGTCTCTGCCTGTCTTCACACTGCTTTCTCCCTTATAAGACTAGCCTTTCTTTTTTTCTTTTTTAAAAAATTGCTATTCACTTTAGAAAACACTTGTAATGTTCTTATTTTATAGCCACAACACCTGATTATGACTTATTGAGTGAATAATTAGTGAAATACCGTGTGTGTGTGTGTGTATCTGTCTGTGTCTGTCTCTGTTGAAGGATTGTCAACAGACCATGATATGAGGAGTTTTCATTTAGTAAATATGTTCTCCATCCTTTTTAAAAGCACAGCTAGTGGTGTCCTTCACACTATTGTACATTTTGCTTTTATTACTTGTATTATTCCATATTAGAACATAAACACTATGTTTGCATAGTAGTCCATTGCATGGATATAATTTTAGCTAGTCTACCTTTAAAAATTTTCTAATTGTGGTAAAATATATATAACATAAACCTTAACCATTTTTTAAGAGTGTATTCTTTATTAAGTGTATTCACATTATTGTCTTCAAAACTGAAACTCTGTGCAATTGGCCCTCTGTATCTGTGGTTTCCACATCTGTGGATTCAACCAATCGTGTGTCAAACATGTTTGAAAAACAATTGCATGTGTACTGAATACGTAAATTTTTTTCTTATAATTATTCCCTAAATAATTTAGTCTAACAACTGTTTATGTAGCATTTACATTGCATCAGGTATTATAAGTAATCTAGAAATAATTTAAGAGTATGTAGGTAGGTTATATGCAGATACTGTGAAACTTTTTTTTTTTTTGGTCGTGCTGAGGATTGAACCCAGGTACTGTGCATGCTAGGCAAGCACTCTACCAACTGAGCCATATCCCCAGCCCTCTGTGTCACTTTTTATAAGGGATTTGAGCACATATTTTGGTGTCCTTATGGGCTCTTGGAACCTGTCTACTTTAGATAAGGAGGAATGAATGTACTCATTAAACAACAATTTTCCCTCCTCCAGCCCCTGGAAACCATTATTCTACTTTCTGTTTCTGTGAATTTAAGTTGGTTTCCCTTTTTAGTTATTTTCATTTTTGCTTTTGCAAACAATGCTGCAGTAAATAGCTTTGCATACGTGTCATTTTGCATATAAATGAGCATATCTGTAGAATGAATTTCTAGAAGTAGAACTGCTGGGTAAAACGGTTTGTGCATTGTTAATTTTGAAAATGTGCCAAATTGACACTACAAAATGAAAGTGTACCAATTTCTACTTCCCACAGCAATGTATCAGCAGTTTAAATATGTTTCAGAGAAGTTAGCTTGTCATCTGAACCAAATTGGGAACTTGGGAAAGGAAGTGCCCTGAAGAATTGGTGCTGTCACTGTCACAGTTTTCAAGAAGCTGGGCTCTTCAACAGTGTTTCTACCTTTATTCCAAAGGAGCATTTGGCATCATCCATTCACATCATTTCCAAGCTGTATTCACTTAAAAATCTTAAAATAAAAGCATTTTTCATAGATCCTATAAGCTATTTGGATATGAGTAATAACATCTAATAGAATGATTGCAGTGCCTTATTTTGCAGGTAGTTACCACAACTTAATGTATGTTCAGCCATGCTGAAAATTTTCTTAGGACAGAATTTTAAGATCTTTAATGTGAATAGACTAAACGGATTTCAGTAGAAAGAAAAAATTAGCAGAACCTTTCTCAAATGAACTCTTATAAAAAGCTCCACTATATTATGGGGAGCTGTAGTATATTGGGGTGACAGGGGTGAGTGGGGAAGGAGGTGGGATTGTGGGGAAGGTGCTCCCCACAGGGCTCCCATCCCTCTTTCATCCAGAAATATTCCACATAGGAGACTCAACTTCTCTCCTAATAGAAGTGAGAGAGATGAGGATAAGATGAAAGTAAATGCTAATGTATAATCAGCTTCTGGTGATTCATGTCAGGCATTTGAGGAACCCTAGAAGCTTCTTTGTTAAGATTGTCATGTTTGAAAGCTGAAGCTCTATTTCATTTTTCCTATAAAGTAAATTTACTGTAAAGTAAGGTGCATAACTCCAGAGAAAGCACTCTCTTCCTTAGAATACATATATAGGTTTTGGTACAGTGACTATTCATCTGGAGATTTTATATAAATTTAACTTATCTATTTATTTATTTTTTGTTTTCTTACTATAAAGTGGAAATTCATAGTTTTACATTGTTCGAAATTTTTTATACATATAATGGGATTTGCAGGGTCTGAGAACCACCTCCTAATGATGATTCATTCCCAGACTTTTTTCAGTGCATTGAATTAACACATAAATTTTATTCCTTCTTTAAAAAGACAAAATATGTAGTATCTACTTTTTTGCAGTGTGCCTATTCAAGCTCAGGGTCTGAGGGTATAGCTCAGAGGTAGAGCACTTTCCTACCCTGCTTGAAGCTCTGAGTTCAGTCCCCAGCATCGCATAAAAATAAAACAACTTGGGCTGGGGATGTGGTTCAAGCGGTATCGCGCTCACCTGGCATGCGCGGGGCACTGGGTTCGATCCTCAGCACCACATAAAAAAATAAAATAAAGATGTTGTGTCCACTGAAAACTAAAAATAAATATTAAAAAATTCTCTCTCTCTCTCTTAAAAAAAATAAAAAATAAGTAAAACAACTCTAGTTCATTTCTTCCTCAGATACTCTCACAACACTGATTGCTTTTGACAGTAGTGTGAAGTTTTTCCCCCCATTCATCAAGCAAGCAGTTCTGCAGCAGACACCAGCTGGGAATCCTTTAATCCAAGTCAGTTCAAATACTGCCTACCTGGAGAGAGCATCAGATCCCACAGATTGAGGACTCAGTCCGTAAGACTGCCCACCTCCTCCAATTTTAAATTCCAGTTACAAGTCTCAGGTTGTTTTACTAATTGACCAGCTAGCTGTAAATCAGGGTTCTCGGAACCCCCTTCCCGTGTTTGATTAATTTGCTAAAATAAATTCAGAGAAACGTGTACCAGTTTATTATAAAGGCTAGTACGAAGGACATGAAATGCGTAGGGCAAAGTATGAGGAAAGAAGCACAGTTTCCATGCTCTCAAGAGAGTGCTGCCTTCTGTGAGCCTCCATGTGTTCAGCTCTCTGAACCCTGTCCTTGTGGATTTTTATGAAGACTTCATTGCATATCTAATGCTGATAGAGGGGAACCCAGCAAGGCCTCAGCATTTCAAGACCCCTTCTGAAATGGGAGTCTTATCATCTATTGTCAGACAAGGTAGTCAGAGAAAGGTGGAGAAGGTTAGAGTTTCTGTGACCACTTTAGAAAAGAGAAATTCTAGTTTCTATGGTCTGCCTTGGGGAGGAAGTTATAAGCCAGGAACCTTGGACAGAAACTAAAATATATATATATCATAATATCATAGTAATATGATTTTATGGAGATTATCATATAGAAATACCCTTCATTCTTTTAATACACTTATACTCTTTAGTTTTATCATATTTTTTTGTCCATTTTCCAGTTGGTAAATATTTAAATTGTAATAAACATCCTTTATATGTGCATCTTTGCCTATTTGAACAATCCTATTTGGATTCTATAGGATAAATTTTAGGAAATAGAACGTCTAGATCAGAGATATGACCGTTTTATATTAATGGATAGTTTGGGATTGTAGAAATGTTATATTAACTTTCTGATTTTTATAGAAAATGAACTTGGTTCTAAATTTTCAGACATTTTAGCTAGGTGACATATAAATAATATATACCATTTTTTTGTGATGGAAAATGCCTAGTCATGTAAAAATATTTAAAACAAATCTTTGAAACTTTTTATTCTTACAGTGATGGAATGGGGGGAAGATATTAAAGCAATTTCAGAAGATGAAGCTATGATGTTGGTGAACCATCAGGCAACAGGAGATGTGTGCACACTGATGATGTGCCTACAGGACAAAGGACGGGTAAGCCATTCTGAAGGCAATAGATGGATATCCAGAAGGGGAATGCAAGAAAGAATCAATTTAAGTGTCTTACTATGGTTTGAAACAGACTTAAAACTTAACATGTATACTTTTCCTGAAAATTTAGAAAATATTAAAAAATAATAATAAGCTACTCCATGAGGAGAATTTAGAGGTTTACACACACACACACACACACACACACAGAGACACAACTGGGATAATGTGAATTATATCTCATTAAACTGTTTTAAAAAATACTAAGTGGGGTGAAAGCAAAGCTGATAAAATTCAAATTAAGGACTGTCTTGAAGTGGAATGGTGGATTGCCAGTTTGAGAAGTACAAATACGAAAAGAAGAGAGGAGAGTAAAATTAGCCAGTTAATTAGGTGTTCTTGGGGATCTTTAGCCAGAAGAAAATAAGGTCATTATTACTTCGGATTTTATTTACAAAATCCATTGGGAGGTAAGATATTATGCTTGCTTTATCCAGTGTTACTAAGGCCATGTTTTACATTGCTTCAGTTAGAAGGGTCACCTAAAACAAATAACAAATTCAGTAAGATAGGTATAATGAATGTGAGATTTGTATGTGTAATTCTGTCCTAGTTTATTTTAGGGGAAATAATTCAAACTGACTGAAAAGGTGAATCCACTATAAATGAAAGATTAAACAAGAAAAATAATTTTGGTATTTTAAGCCACTTAAATTGTAGACACTTCATAAATACTGTGTATAGTTAAAATGTTTTATAGGTTTTATCCAGTTACTTCTTGTTTTTTGTTTTTTACTTGGGACACTTTTCAACAAATTTCATTTAGTTAAATTGGATTTATTTAAACAAAGTAGTTATCATTGGAAAGCAAAACAAGAATGAATAATGAGATACTGGTGTTTATTTTACTCTGTATTAATTGACATGGTGACTCAGTTCTTCACTGGACACAAATCTTTCTTTTTCTTAAATTAAAAACATTTTTAAAGTAATTTAATATAATAAAGCTGATGGAGTAGTTATTTCACTGAAAAAATAAGGCAGAGCTGTTGTTACATTATGTTGTCTGTGGGATTTTATGATGCTTTATAAAAGCAGCACATGAGTGTCAATGTTCAGTTTTTCTTATATGAGAGTTACATAATTTGGTTTTTTAGTGTTTACATTTATTATTCCCATAAGAGACCAAAGTAAAGCTCATTGCATTCTACTCTGAAGTTGTAACTTTCACTTTATTTAAAGTTTATAAAAAGGAAATTTATTTCCTCAGTAGGAAAGAAATTAACAAGTTTATTAATTAGATCCTGTTTATACTTTTAATTTCTAAATTTACTTGAAGTCTTCTGCCCTCAGCATGGGAATTAACTCACATAAGCAGCAGAGAATATTTTGTGATTAAGACATCACGAATTATTGAAACATTTCAAATAGTTTTATGTTGACAAAGAGTATGACCTTGTATAAACTAATAAATATTCTTTATAACATAATGGAATGTATAAATTATTTTATTAAGATATTTTTAAATGTTCTCTTATCTTAATCATTAGCTTTTAATATTTTAACCATTAAGGTATACTCACATTTATAAATCTTTAGTACTTATTAATTAAATGTATGGCCTTCATTTAACTTTAACAATTTTATTTTATTGATTTAATATAATTTTATAAGATAAAAATTGTCAGGGACCTTGTTTAAGGTAAAACAAATTTGAAATCATTAAGTCCAAATCTAAAAAAATTAATTAATTTGGGTTCATTTGTTATACAGTGATATGTATTTATGTGTATATATACTCATATTCTAGTTTCCTACCTAGTACTTAAAATTCCAACCCTTGGAATCAAGATCTGCGATTTTTCATGTAGACTTTATTAGTACCTATGTTATATTTGTAGGAAAGAGCATTAGATTTAAAATATTTAGGTTAATTAAGAATGCTTAATGCTTGGATGACTATGTTTAAAATTTGAAGCCTTGGCTAGATTTTAGTCCGGTTACTTCTATACAATATTTAATTATCTCTTGCTTTTAAATATTTTAGGCTGTTGCTCAGTTAATATGGTTGATGGATCATATTTTTAAGTACACCAACTTTGGAATTGTTTCTCTAATTCATGGAGACTTCTTTATAAGGCAGGTAAGTGATGAACATTTCTTCCCCACAATAAAAGTCTGAATGAATAGTCTGGTCAGACTGATTCTTCACTATGAAAAGGTACATAAGAAAGCCAACTATATAGGTAGTCAGTTCTAGTGTTTCAGGGAGTCCTTCCTCTAGGTCTTTCTTCCATAAACATTTACTTTAATCTGAATTTGAGGGTGCCTGAGTAATAAGATATTTATAATGCAAATATTTTAACCTCTACTACCCTCCCATATAGAGGATACAGTTCAGTTTAATAAACATTTATCAAACGTTCATCATATTCCCTGCTCTTCAGCTTCTTAGTTATATGAATTGGGAAAATTACTTAACCAGCTCAAAGTTCCCTTATTTTTCAAATGAAGATAATATAGTAACACCCCAGATAGTTATTGTGGGGATTAAATGAAGTAATGTAGGTAAAACACTCGGAACATCGCTGGCTGCCCTTATCATGTTTACCACCATCATCATCTTTATTATCACTATAATTTTGATCTATAAGGGCCTGTTATATGATATAGAAGATATCTTAAGTTACCAGTAGGGAGTATCTTCATAATTGTTGTCATTATCATCATCAGAAATATTTTGGGAATTTGTTTTAGGGAAATTAGTATCAGATTTTTTTCTGTGAACTCAGAAAAACTTGAGAGGATAAAATGATATTTGGCATAAATTTTAAAGAATTGTTATGGATTTTGATGGACAAACGTGGATTGAGGAAGATCCCAAGCATGAGGAATAGTTTAGTGCAGCAAAAAGAATCATAACCTTTTATTCAGTCAGTGTTACATTATATTGCCCTGGTATGGTACTAGTATTAAACCTGATTTTCTCAAAAGTGGAAAACCTAGATGTGATATGTAAGAGTTTTCATGTGTGCTAATGCAACACTTACTTATTGTTTTTATAATGAGCATTTTAATCTGGATTGTGCAGTGCTCTGCATATAAATACTTAATGAATAACTCGGGAATCAAATGAAGCCTCTTCTATGAAGCACAAATGCAGAAATAAACTGGAAATGAGTAGAAAACTTTTAAGCTCTGTGAAAAGAAGTGTTACAGAACATCCATTTTACTCCATACAGTTTTATGTACAGAACCTGTTATTTTCACATGATGTCCAATTACCTAGTGCTTACCATGGTTCTTCTGAGCAAAGACAGATGGAAGTATGGACTGGAACCTCACGAAGAGGTGGTAGTGGAGATTGGTCAGGAGGTCAGGACAAAGTAAACAGTGACCACAACAAAAAAACCTAAGACTGATGTCTCAGAGAAGGTAGTAGAACTGACCGAAAGCTTTGCAGTCTAGGGGGTCTAGTGGAAAAAGTAGCCAAGCCTCTTACAACATGAGGTCTGAGGAAATTATTGACTTATAGTGTAGTGTAACAGTTGATCTTAGCGATCATGATCCTTAAACATCAAGAAAGTGCTAAATTATCAGTGTACTTCGAGAGAATTAAAAATAAAAAATTATGTACACCAAACTGTTTTTGTGGCTATTGCAATATGAAGTTTGTATATGTAAAACTACATTTCATAGTATGTGGGAAATTGCCAAATTCATTTCTAAAGAGCAAAATTTTTTCCCAGTAGATTAGTAATGAAAATTTTTAACATGGAAGGAGGTTTGGAATAGAAAAAGTATTAATTTTTTTTTTTTTTAATCTTTGGGGCTTTGCTATAAGATGATTTTTGACAAGATTTCCCAAGAATAGTAAAGATATTTTATAAGGAGTCTTGGGAACTTAAGCTATTTTAATCATAATCAGTTTAGTTTAGTAAACTAAGAAAATTTCTTCCTTGTTTTGCATTTGGGATATGTTTAATTTAAAGACTGAATGTGTTGTTGTCGTTGTTGTTATTATTGTTATTGTTGTTGTTATTATTTGTCCTGGTGATTGAACCCAGTGGCACTTTACCACTGAGCTACATCCCCATCCCTTTTTATATTTTATTTTAAGATGGAGTCTTGCTAAGTTGCTGAGACTGGCCTCAAACTTGTGGTCTTCCTTCCTTAGCCTCCCTAGTTGCTGGGATTACAGATGTGTGCCATGGCACCTGGCCTGAAAGTGTACTAATTATTTTAAGGAGCTTCTATAATTATGTTGCCTGGAAATTAGCAAATTGATTATTCTGAAAGATCCTTTGTGATATTTAGTTGTAGGTTTGGGTCGTCCTATAAGTTTTTCTGGATTCCTGTTTTCAGTCTTCAAGTCATCCATGTTCCTTTTTTTTCCCTCACAACTGAGATCAGATATATCAGAAAATCCTGGTAACTTTGCATTCAACTTTTTATTCCCTGTTTGTACCCACTTCTCATGAATATCCCTGAGTTGAATCCTTTGAAGCTCCCTTGCAGGAACTTTTGCAGTAGTCTCCTAACTTATTTCTTGTAGTCCTTTTGTCGCAGGAGCCAGCAGATTTTTTTTCAAATCTAAATAAGATTATAACACTGCCTCATTTAAAATCCAGTGAATTCACATCTAAAACTACCTAGCCATGCACAAGGCCCTTTTCACTTGGTCTCCACCTCCCTCTGCAGTTTCATCTCCTGCCACTGACTACCTCATTCATCTTTTCAGTCATACCAGCTTTGGTACTGTTCTTTGAACATCCTGAGTTTGTCCCTATCCAGATCTTTGTGCTTTTTGTTCTCATTCCTTGGTATATACTTCCTCTTCATGCAGCTTATTCCCTCCCATTAACAGCTCTTTGCTTAAATGATACCTCCCCAAAGCAGCTTTCCCTGACCTTCTTGATTTTTTCTAGCCTCTTAATCTTTTCTTCCTAACACATTGTTATGGTTTGGATTAGAGGTGACCCCAAAAATCTCCTGTGTTAATGTAGGAATGCTTAGAGGTGAGAGATTGTATTGTGAGAGCTGTAACCTGATCAGTCCATGCTAGCTTGAATGGGCTGGGTGGTAACTGTAGGTGGATGGGGTATAGCTAGAGGAGGTGGGTCACTGGGGGTATGCCCAGGAAGGGTTCATCTTCCCTGAAGCCCCTTCCATCTCTCTCTGCTTCCTGGCCACTGCAAGGTCAGCTGCTTTCCTCTCTCTGGCCCGTCAGCCACGATGTGCTGCCTCACCTTGAGCACAGAGGATGGACTTGATTGTCTATGGACTGAGGCCTCTGAAACCATGAGCTCCAAATAAAGTTTCTCTCCCCTGAGTTGTGTTTGTCAAGAATTTTGGTCACAGTGACCAAAAGCTGCTGAAACACACATATCACTGATTCTGATTGAGTGGACACTCCAAATTTACCACTTTCCCAAAACTAGAGTATAATCTCGCTGTTTAATCCTGTCTTTAGAATCTCTGATAGCACTTGGCATATAGTAGGCATTTAGTTTGTAGTTGCTGGAAGGTTAATGACTGAACTTTCTGGGCAATCAGAACAAATTACTTTTCCTGCAGAAAGAAAGCTTGTTTATTAAGTGCTAATAAATTTTCTCTTTTTACCACTGGGATCATAAAGGGAAATAAGTCAGGGGAAATGACTCTTTTATTCTGTGACTGGATTTGAATTTAGAAATGATTGTTTTTATTTGATCTTACAGCATTTTCATTTTGGATGTAACTGTCCTATTTGTGTATACCTTCTAGGGAAAATCTCATCGTGACCAACAGCTGCTGCTTCTCAAGAAGCACCTAGAAAATAATTATAGGAGCAGAGATCGAAAATGGATTGTTTTGTTTCCCGAAGGGGGCTTCCTCAGGAAGAGGCGAGAAACAAGTCAGGCATATGCCAAGAAAAATAACTTGCCATTTCTTACACATGTCACTTTGCCAAGATTTGGTGCAACAAAAATTATTTTGAGTGTACTTGTAGCACGACAGGAAAATGGAAGTCAAGCAGGAGGAGATGCTAAAGAATTAGGTATGATGGTTTTTAGCCTTTCCTGTAAAGGGTTTTCTGGAGTTCCAGAAGGTATAGTTGTTCTTTTTGTGATTTTTGTCAAGTAAAATTAATACTGGGGTAGAATATGAAACTATGATTTTTTTTGATGTTTCTATTAATGAAAACAGTATGTATATATTTATCATTTTTATTCAAATAATAGAGAAGAAATTTAATGTAGTTGGACAATATTTATTAAGACCCTTAAAGTATTAATAAATAACTCAGTTATTCCACTGAAAATGGGGGAAATAATCTCAAGTACAGGCAAAGAAATTTATCACAGAGTTGTTTAAAATAGAAAAAAAAAATGGAAATAGAAGGTAAGTAATCATCAAATATCCATAAGTGGAGACTACAATGCAGCCATTATATAGTGGCTTAGCCAGGTGCTCATGGTATACTGTTGAAACACACAACTCTGTGAAACTTGAGCATGAGCTCAAGTCTGTGATCAGTTACCAGTAGGAAATGTGTGAAAGAAAAAATACCCAAATGTTGGCAGTGATTGTTTTTCTAAGTTGTAACATTATGGATAATTTTCCCCATTTCTTAATCCTTTCCTGTATTTTTCAGTTTTTAAATAATGAGTATGTATTACTTTTATGGCCAAGAAAAAGATACAGTCAGCTTGGAAATAGCCTGGTAGATTGTGAAGTTTTGTAGAAGGTATTTGTGCCAACAATATGACAACTATCTTGAGCAAGTTTATCTAAGCCACTATTACTGTAAAAATTTGGTGACAAATTATAAATTTAGAAGCTCAGAGAAATTGACTTGGTCTATTTCCCTAGTAGTGGTTTGCTATTCTTTTAATATTCTTTAAATACACTGAAAACTGAAATGATTGACTCTCAGAAATGTGTTTCTAAATGGTGATAAAGAGCAGATGTAGAAATAATGCCCATGAGATTACCCTGAGTTTTCCTTTCTTCTTCTTTTTTTTTTTTTCCATGCAGCTGCTTGGCAGTCTGCTCTCTTAATCTTTCATCATCTATTTAAAAGACAAATTGAAAGAGTCTTTTAATAGGAAAGTTAAGTTCAGAATAGCTTCACTACTGGAAAGACACTATAGCAATGTCAGGCAAGCCCAAACTGAAAGGCCAAGGTCTTCCACACAGGATTAATTGGAACAAGTAACATTGCTGTTTAAATAGTGAACCTGGTCCGAACACTGTGGTTGTCTATATCTTGAAGGAAGGACCAATTATCATACTTAATAGCAAAGAAAGATGCCTAATAGTGAAGAAAGATGGTTTTTCTTTTGGAGAGGAAATGTTTATAACAAAGTAATTTATTATTTATCCTACCTTAATTAAAACATTTTTTCCTAGCTGTTTAGAAAAGATCATTAATAGACCTGTAAACTAGTTCTTGTATTTTACTATTTTCTTCTCTGTGTTTTGGTATTTTTCATTTTATTTTTCTTAGTGTATTTGCTAGTATTTTTATCCCCTGTAAATACAAACCATTTCTCATGTGATCCATACTCACATATCAAAATTAAGTTTTGTCTGATTAACTTTAAAAGGATTAGCATATGTGTTTATTGCTTGATTAAAATATTAAGCTGAACTCTGGTATTTTTTCTTATCATTTCATTATGAAAATGTTCAAGCATCTGAAAGAATTAGACAAAAAGTTTTGTAAAATTTGACAAAAAAAAATTTTTTTACAGATTTCCCCGTCTTCAGAATGTTGTTCTAAAATATTTAAAGAATTTAAGGGATATGTATGCATACACACACACACACACACACACACACACACACACACACACACACACACCACTGATTTCTAATGCATATGTTTGGAAAAAATGAGAATTTTTTTCTTCTTTTCTTTTTGGGGATTCTTAGATACTTCAAACATAGACTTTAAAGTGTAATGGTCTGTTCTATCAGCATTCTCTGAAGATTTCCCTCTCCATTCTTGCTCAATTTTGTACTCCATGCTGGGAATAAAAATAGTGTACAAAGGGACAAACTAAATAGAGCTTCCCCATCCTTACACTTCAACGGTAGTTATCTGCTGTCCCTTCCAAAAGACAGGAGAGTTTATTGCTTTATTTGCATGTAACTTTTGCTAAAATTGCAGTTCTTTTGCTTTGTTTCAAATAAGAACAGCAACTGACAATAATGTATGTCTAAAAATTCATAATTTTATTGCCATGTTCTTGTATTTATTAGTATCTCCAAGTATTGCAAATCTTGGTGTTTGCTTTATAATTATATTTAGTGAATGATTTTGTTTCAAAGTCTGTTTTTCATTTTTGCAATGTGATACTTCTTACCTTTTCATAGGCCAATTTTTTTACAGAAGTGATAAAATATAAATAAGACTTTGAGGATGCGTAATTGTATTGAATACCTGAATTATGCATGTGCAGTAAATAACAGTGCTCAATTATTTGCTTTGAAATTCATCCATTTTTTAAAACAATAAGAAATCCTTAATTTTGTCCTACGTGTATTATAGAGCAGTAGCACCAAAGTTCATCCTCACTTCTTAAAGCAAAAGGTATATTAATAAACTTTACACTTCTCAAGTGATTGATACCATGTTATTTGCTGCAGATAATATAAAAAGTGATCCAACCTTAAGTAATTTTTTTTCTTTGTTTTCAGAGAGCAAATCAAAAGGCCTTCAATGGATAATAGATACAACCATAGCATATCCCAGAGCTGAACCTCTAGATATTCAAACTTGGATCCTTGGATACAGGAAACCAACAGTCACACATGTCCATTACAGGTAAGAACTCTTGGGGTGGGGATGTGGCTCAAGCGGTAGCGCGCTCGCCTGGCATGTGTGCGGCCCGGGTTCAATCCTCAGCACCACATACAAACAAAGATGTTGTGCCGCTGAAAACTAAAAAATAAATACTAAAAAATTCTCTCTCTCTCTCTCTCTCTCAAAAAAAAAAAAAAAAAGAACTCTATATTTGTTTTCAGTATATATCCAATAGAATGACCTCAGAACAGTGTGAATGTTTTAATATTTAGTTTTTAACCGGACAGTAGAAATAGTTGGCATGGTGTGTGTTTACAGGGAATAAAAATTCTACACTGGCTTTTGAATATGGAAAATATCATTTCAAGTACTTATTTTTACTGAGTGACACAAATCTCTAAAAACGATGTTCCAAAGGCACTTTAGATACCCAATTGCCTGACATTCTTGAGTAAAAGTAGCTGAAAGAGCAAACATCAAGTATAAATGTGTAATCACTTGGGTTAGGTAGATATGTATTGATAGGAATGGAATTTGTTTTGAAATCATTAATCCACATAAAAAGTTATGAATGATTAAACTAATTTAATATGATATACATTTTTAATATTTTGGTATGCCAGTGCCATTTGCATAAACAGCAAAAATGTTGAATTTTCTGTGCCATATTCTTGAGATTTTTTAATGTAGATTTTTTTGGGGGAAAGTTTCATGTAAACATGTGAAGGAATTTATATCAAAGCATAGCACTGATAAGGACTGAATATAGTTGATCACTTTATAGTTCATTTAGCTTTACTTTCCTTGTCAAGGACTTCAACCCATGACAGCTAACTTACAAATGTATGAAGTGGGTACCAAGGAAAATCACAGTTGCCATAAAGATCCTTCACAATAAGAGGAAAATTGCTCAAATTACATACCCATTGATAATAGTAGTATTTTTTCATATGTGTAAACCATCAGTATTCTATAAATGTAAATATCCAGCTGGGAGGATTTGAAACTTAAAATTAAATATTTTTGTTTGGTTTTTGTGTACGAGATGACTATAAAATTATAGTTGGAACAGTGTGTGACTTAATTTCCCAATTAGGAAGTTCATGTGTAATGTAAAAGTATAATTCTTAATGGCTTTTCTAACTCCATTTCACATATGTTGTACATTTTATTTAAGTTATTGAGCACTTATATACAAGGTGATGTGCTAGGCCCTGGAAGAATTTCTCTAGGAACAGTTTTATTTCATGTAGCCTTCAGTAACTTTTTAAAGTTTATAATCTAACAACAAAGGTCATTGTTAATGCCCAAACTAGGATTATATGGCAGTTGGATATGTGTATTGGATAAAAGAAGATGGTATCTTCATTGATATATGTAGATGTCCTAGCAGATCATACCAAAAAAAAAAAAAAAACTGAATCAAAGAAAAAAAATTCTATTTTTTGAGCATTCTGTTATAGTTGACCCTCTTTTTAGTCAATAAATATAGGAAATTTGGTTTATGGACAATCAAAAAAATGAGTGGAATCATGTAGAATCTTAATAATTGAAGAATTGGTCTATTTTTTAGAAAAATTATCAGGAATAAGAATAAGGCTCTTAAGTCACTTGAAGCAGAGGTTCTTAAGCCTGGGCCTAATGGATGGGCCTCAGATAATTTTTTAACGAAGTCTGTATGCAAAATTTTTATGGTTTTATGTATGTTGTACTTTCTACAGAGAGGATTCACTACTTTAACTTTATTCTCAAAATCATCCATGACCAAAAAAAAGTTAAGAAACCCTGACCTGGAGAGTAAATCCAAAGTATAGATAGAAGATAAGGAACTGTTAGTTTGATATAGAAAAATAATTTATTACCAGATGTAAAAATAATAAAGAAAAGTTTATTGTGTTAGATTAGTAGAGATTCAATTATGGTGTAGAATCATATTCTATCCACTAAAATGCACATTATGCCTGATAATTTATGGGTATATACATACCCTAGGAGTCTTGTTTGGACAGGTGAGGAGATACACTTTCCTTTTCTTCCCAGGAATTTGTAAGACATCATTGTCTGCCTAGAGTTAAGGAAGGGGGATGGACCTGTGTTCCAGTAGGAAAGGGAAAGCAAATGAAAGGGGCAAGACAAAACAGGGGTGTCTGATGTCAGCATAGTACTGAGGTTTTTCAAAAGTTTGTGAAAAGGGACATGGCCATGTCCTTAGCTCTCAGGAATAAGCTCTATCAACAATAAGCTGACTCTTCATGATTGTTGTAGTCTATCAGGGCACCGTTGGAGATGGGAAAAGATATCCGTTCTAGTTCATACTCTCTATTTGGTTATATTTTTAAAATACTAATCAAAGTCAAGATGTTTTCAATTAGAGTAAAAGTTTTGAAATGCAACATTAATAATCATATGCATATATATGTATACGTGTGTGTGTATATATATATATGTGTGTGTGTGTGAATAAATAAGGTTTAGATCTCTTCTCTCTCTTTTTTAAAAATATTTATTTCTTTAGTTTTAGGTGGACACAGTATCTCTGTTTCACATTTATGTGGTGCTAAGAATGGAACCCAGTGCCTCACGCACGCTAGGCGAGCACACTACCACTTGAGCCACATCCCCAGCCCTAAATCCCTTCTCTTTTAATGTAAGGAAGTTGGCAGGAAAACTGAATAGTACTGACTGCTTCAACCTAGGAATAGGAGCCCAAAAAGATAAGAAAAGATTGCCTGAAAACCATAATGTTAACTGAAAAACTGCTTTTGCTTGGTGTTATCTTTCTTATCTTCACCTACAGGCAGGTTTTAAAAACGTATTTATGCCCTGTATGGCGGCATTATAGCAATAGCCTGTCTCATTATAAAAAATAAAAAAAGCTGGGCATGGTGGCCCATACCTGTAATCCCAGTGACATGAGAGGCTGAGGCAGGAGGATCACAAGATCAAAGCCAGTCTTAGCAATTTAGCAAGGCCCTGCGCAACTAAGCAAGACCCTGTCTCAAAATAAAAAAGGGCTGGGGATGTGGCTCAGTGGTTAAGCGCCCCTTGGTTCAATCCTTGGTACCCAGTAAACAAACAAACAAAAAATTTATTAATTGATTTTTTTTTCTTGTAATGACATTTTCTCCAAAGTATTACTGTGTTATTCTGTTTTTTGTTTGTTTGTGTGTGTGTGTGTGTGTGTGGGGGGGTAATACTAAAGACTGAACCCAGGGGCATGACCATTGAGCCATATCCCCATCCCTATTTTGTATTTTATTTAGAGACAGGTTCTCACTGAGTTGCTTAGCGCTTCACTTTTGCTGAGGCTACTTTGAACTCAGGATCCTTCTGTCTCAGCCTACAGAGCTGCTGGGATTATAGGCATGTGCCTTTGTGCCTGGTTACTCTGTTATTCTTAACAACCCCAGCTGACTTTTAAAAAACATCTTAGCAGCCCTCAGTCTTAGAGGGCTTTGGTATAGATGGAGTAGTTAGTACTATTGCTAGTTTTTTTAGTCTAATCTTGAGGTGTATGACATATGAGGGTCATAAAGTAATTATTCCATTCTATTCAGCCTTGATCAAATCCAGTTTGAAATATATCATGTATTTTAATTTCTCCATTAAAAATGCAATTGGTAGATTATCAAAAGAGGTAAAATATATAAATCCTAGAACACAAGTACTGCTTCAAAGGAATTCATTTTAGATCAATGGAAGCAAATTTGGAGATGGCAGTAATTAAACACAATTCTAAGAAAGTACAAACAGGTTTTTAAAAGTTGAGCAATTCATAAGTACTCAATCTGTAATAAATGTCTGGATATTTGAGGTGCTTATGTCATATTATAGGTAAATTCCATAGAGAATAGTGACTGTCCTCTCCTGAGTAGTACATTTTGATGTTGCTGAGACCTAAAGAATGTGTTTGGGGTAGCTGGTATACTACAGCATTTCTTACCATCAGAATTCACTTGGGAAATAGGATAGTTGGCATAATTTATTTAACGTTAGTCAGTGCTTAGATAATTTTTTATTTCCATAATATATTTATTTGCTCTTCTTGTACATTTTAAGCTACCTAATAATTTCCACTATTTTGTACCTCATTGCAATGAACATAATGTGACTCATGACAACTATATGAAAATCTGTGAGTAAACATGGCATTTTTCCCTATAGAGTGACTCCCATCATACTGTTTTAATAAGTTCTTAAATTTTTTTCTCTTTATTTAAACAGGAAGGGAATATCTACACTACCAGAAAGTGCAGCACTTTTTTTTTTTTTTTAATTCTAGATTTTTGTACTGATGTTTAGGAAAAAAAAATACAAGAATGCAATAGCTTCAAATAGCAATTTTCTACATTATGTCACTTTTTACTTCTTAGGCTTATGTTGATTTTTAAGATTTCTAAAATCCATGTTATATATAAAAATGCTACACAAATACCTAAAATACCACATAGATGAGAAAGTAGCAGCAGATACATAGTGGCAGTTACATAATTGATCCTGTTTTACGAAAAGGTAGTGTTGTTGTCATTCAAAAGTTGAACTTTTAGGGCAGGTATTTGGAGCTTATTCTTTGGAAGACTTGGGACAAATGGTGATTAAGTGCCAACGTCACTTTGCTAATAACTAAACTCAGTGTATACATGACTCCTCAGAAGCCCACCCTAAGACTTTGGTGCTCAGAGGTTGCACCAACTTCAGTGAATGAATTATTGTGAGCACCAAATGGTGTACTGGTAAAAAATGTTTTTGACTATAGCGTGCCTTATTTTTATATGAAGTGCAATTATTAAAACATATCGAGTATGTATGAATTACTGATATTCACTATTACTAAATCAGAATTCCCATATGTCTCAGCCATTTACTATAAAGATGTCTTTTCTTATTCTTTCCTCCCAATATTACATTGTTTAACTAGGGAAGCAGTTTTGTATTAGTAGGTATGCAACTACATTATTGAACTTTCTGAAAAGTAAAGAGGAGCTAAGGCTAAAGTGTGGGAAATATTTGAGAATATTTCT